TGTTTTGTTTCACTTCTATAGATAGAATTCGGAACGTACATGTCCTATTTAGGACAGAAGTACCACGAATACAAAACAATAGACAAAATACTTGTTAATAAAAAACACCGGATAAAATACCCCATTTTTTTATAAATTTTAAATGATTAGAAAGGGGTTTTTATTATCAAAATAATAAATATAAGATAATTTAGTGCGAATCTCAATTTTCTATCATATTATAATGTAGTAATCTACTAAACAATGACTTCTTCTCAATTTATTGGCGATTTCTAGGTTTACCTAGGTAAGCCAATTGATTTTATTTATCCATTTTTGAGGGTCTTGATCATATATCCGCCACTAACATCTTTACCCAAGTCATCTGTTATCTTGGCCTTCCTCAAGCTCTTAATACTTTAAAACTCTTTCCCAGTAATCTTTTGTTTTTCGTTACATGCCAAGACTATCTTAGTCTATTTCTCTATACTACTCCAATCTTTTATATTACCGTCCTTGGCTAGGTTTTTTTCTCTCAGTGATAACCCGCACATTAATCCGTAAGGCTTCAGAACTCCTAAACATTTCTGTTGCCACTCTTGTTAAACGCTTTCCCCCCCTTTTTTTTTATCTTCTTCAGCGCTTTCATATTTCTTCCTTGCCAAATCTACGACCAGGATCTTCTACTTTTGCAAAACTAACTTCATTATCCCATTTATTCTCTTAATTATAAACTTATTTTCACTATTTGTTTTACTATTATGCCATTTTTTTGTAACACCTCCTTTTCTTCCATGGTTTCTGCTATCTCCGAATTCTACCGTATACTTGGTCTAGGTGGCCATTTTATCCACCACACACATTCTCAGTTATTCTCAACCAAGCCTTCATGGCTTCCAATTTTACATTTATCCCAGATGTTTGTGCAACCTCCGTTTTTCTTATCGCCAATATTCTATTGAATTGACCTCTTGCACTCACCTCCTTCAATATCCAAGCATTTAGCCATAGTACAAACTTTTATTTAATGATTCTTAAGCCCTTAAAAGTAAGATCTCCTAAGTCGGGACTGCTCAATACATTCTTCCCCTTGTATCATTTTCACATTTTTTGATATACACCTATCACATCTTCTCACTAATAAATAATCTACACCACTTTTAGCACAACCCAATAGTCACCAGCTTCCTTGCTTCTTTCTTAAAAATTGCATTGAAAACAATCATATCCGTAGCATCAAAATCCAAAATTCTCTTCCCTCCAGGATTTATCGTACTGAAACTAAATCTACAATGCACTCCCTTATAAACTCCACTACTCGCTTCCACATTCCCATTCAAATCACCAGCCAGGAAAATCCCTTCTTCATTTGCCAGTCTCGAGGTCGCCTCTAATAGACTGTCCCAAAATATAAATTTCTCTTCTTCACTTCTTCACCCTGCCACGCGCCTATAGAATGAGCGGAATTAACAGACATTTAGCCATTATCCAAACTATACTTGAAACATAGCAATTTGTGTTGATTGTTAAAAGAAGATCCATCCATTAAAATGCGATTTTTTTTTTACCTAAAATCTTATGAAAGACCTAAAGGTAAGATACAAATTACAATTTTAAAATACAATTATTCATGTTTTTTTGGAACATGTAGTACCACCTCTATTTTTATAGATTGAGTTTTTTTTATATATTATTTATATTTACATGTTATGTTAAAATAGTTTTATATGAAAAAATCTGAAAAAATCTGAAAAGTCGTGGTACTTTCTAATTTTTGACTTTCGGCTGTTATAATCGAGTTTTTGGGTAAAAGTGACCTGGGAAACACATATGAAATCCCAAATAAGGTGTTTTCCTCTAAATCAAGGAATATTTATAAGACCATCTAGTTATCCATCCCCACCAGACAAGGATAAGTGAACGGATTACAGTATAATTATTTAATTTCGATATTTTAATATAATTTTATTTCATATTTCATGATATAATTTAATTGAACTAAAAAATATTATTCGAATATATCCATTGAGCAATTTGTGAATATGAACAGTAACCTATTCGTATTTGATTTTGAATAGGTTTGTATAATCTTTTTTATTAATAAACATGATAATTTAAGGACAATAATAAGTCACTATTTGACATCAAGTAAATTTGATTGATCATATAGACTCCAAATTTCGAATTAATCTTCAACAATTATCTAATTTTACTGGGATACATATAAAATGTTAACACTCCTTCATTCTCCAGTGACCAAAAAAGAGTATATAATATATATTATAATTATCATTATAATTAATTATTATTATTATTATAACCTATTAATTATACCCCACTAAGATTAGCATAAAAGTACAGCTCATTCATCTAACAAAATGATATTATAATAAAAAGATTATATACCCTAGCTAAGTAAAATCACATTGTAATAAAATAAAATTTTGCTACTTTTTTTTATACATTAATATAAATATAATTAACAATGTAAAAGGTGCGAGCTAATCAACAATACCTTAATGACGCTTTGAAAAAAAGTTATAATTTATAATAGTGTGTAATTATTTTTATCGAAATAATTGACCCTTAATTAATGTTTTATAATGTATATTTGGTTCACGAGGCCTTTACAATTAAGCTCTGAGATATGCACTTATTATATAAATATTTACTTAGGATAAGTGGAAATAAATGTTACTTAACTATTTAAGTTTTTATATTTTTTTAAAATATAGAAGATAACTTTAATTTTTTTTTGACAATCGTGACAAAAAAATATTGTAGATCAAATTAGAATTCTGGTAGATGGTATTTGTATACTTTTTTTGAGTTCATTATTGTAAGACATCTTTGGAGATATCAATTAGTATATTTGAAAAAAATTTCAATGAAACAAAGTTTTAATTTAAATAAAAAGTTAAATCAATGGTTGGTTTTAGAGAAAGGATAAACTTCTATAGACAGCAGAGGAGTACCCAAAGAATTTTGAGTAGGTGTCAAATGTAAAAAAAAATTGCGGCATAGGGCTGCAATTTTTGCCTCAAAATTTCCCATTTGCTATACAAACCTTAAAAAAACTCCATAAATATTTTTTTTAAATATATACGATCGATATAACTGTCTTTTTTGAGGACCACAGTTCAGACCGTTTTATTAATATTTAAGTTTTGAGGACGATGGTTCTATCGGATACGTGTAACGGTCCCACCAAAGGCCTACCGTGACTTTCAAATTTATTCAATAATATGTATCGTGAATTTGGATTAGGGGGGTGTCCTGACCTGAAACCACATCCCGTAGTTATCTGATAGAAGGCAAGGTTAGAATTAGAAATAATAATTAAATTACATTTTCATTTTATTTAAATGTGAAAGTCTGAATTTCCAAAGCACATTTTTTCCATCTTGATTTTGGAGACATTTTTGTGTGCGATTATTTTTATAAAATGTTATTTCTCAATCTCCTTAAATCTTTTAAATGTTAATATAATATAAAGTGTATAAACCAACGGCGTAACAACTAAGGATCCTTAGGTAAGGTAAGAGAGATAGGGACAAAATGAATAAAAGAGTCCCACATTCCTTGTAAAAAAAATCAGAAGAGCTCAATTTTATTTGTTCAAATATCAATGAAATTCGAAAGAAATAAAGCTGGCTATGGCCATAACTCAGCGTTCCAGAGGTCGCGCATATAATGTTAAAAAAATAGCAAACAAAAAACCTAGCGTTGCAAAATCGATTCCAAATATTTAAATATTTCAAGCGTTTGCACATTAAAAGTTTATCATCTGCTTACTAGTTGTATCCGGAAAATTTCCATATTTTAAGTATTTCTCAAAAGCTAGAACTCTCTGGTATATTCTATCATAATAATAATTTTTTTTAAAATCTACTGCACTTTCATTCGCGATGATTATGTCAATGTAAAAATCTCTAATAGTGATCATTCATTGCTTGTAATTTTTGTTGTTGCAAAGTCTGGATTTAGTAGTCAATAAAAATCATTTATATCATATCAATAAATATTAAATAATGATGCCCTAAAGAAGATGAAGAAATAAATAAACATAAATGCTCATTCCTTTTTAAAGTGCAGGAAGAAAAGATAACTCCCATTATATAATGATCTCCCTTTATCCATATTAAATACAATCTGTTTTATTATTATTACCAAATATATAAATAATGATTTTAACATATTTTGCTATTATTAATATATATTGCATGCCAAACTAAGGTTGGTTTTTATTTAATATATTTTTAAAGGATGGACTAATTTTTATTTATTTATAAATATTCCAAAATATGCTATTTTAAGGGCAACCAAATTTTAGCGATTTCCTTTTTTGTGCTATTTTTAGATATCCTTTTTCTTTTATAGATAACTTTCATTTCGCTCTGGACGTCCAAAAGGCTTAGCGCTACCATGGTTTTAAATAAATTTTTATGAATACCTTCGACTTTTTTTATAAGATAAAATAGACCAATGATTATTAATATTTGTATGAATCGCTATATATAAGCGGAGTTATTAAGTAATTAGTTTTATTTTATTGGTTAAAAGTTTTTTAATATAATTTTTGTAAACTCATTATTATTAGTACCATACCATAGAAATAACCATGATATGATAATGAAGCATTTTTATTTTTAGTTAATAAAAAATAATTTTATTTATTTATTATTGATTTTTTCTACAAATTATTACATTACTATTACTTACACACTTTCACAAAAAAATGAATATATTTTTATTATTATATTAAATATAATGATAAAATAATATTTTTTTAAAAAAACCATGTTAAATAGTGGGATTTTCTTTTATAAGGCACATTAAATTTTTATAGTTTAGCGTTTAACCGATAAATATTTTGGTTTTAATAGCATTTAAAATAGAATCCTTTTTTTTAAAAAAAATTTATATATATAAAAAAAATACTTCTACTTATCATGGATAATTCTCAGATGGATTTATAACAATAATTCGTTCAAAAAATTATCCCGATATACCATAAAAATGATTAGTAAATTTTGGATAAATTTTGTCATGTTTATGATATGCGATTTTGATATTCGGATCTTTATCGTGGAAGCGGAATATCCTAAATTTTTATTTGATGAAAGTAATAATTTTTTTTTAAAATTTTTTTTGAAGTCAGTAGCGTAACAAAGATATCGCGGACTTCCATGCAAATTTTTATAATAAAGTATATTTTGAGGTCTTGAGCCCCTGTTATTATATTTCAGGGCTCTAAAACCTTTTAGCCCTCCCCCTACAATCGCCCGAGCTATGTTACGGTGCAACCTCTGCCATCTTGGTTGTTACACCGCTAGTGATTATTTAATATATAAAAGACGCGAGTTATACATTCATTTTATCAAAATAAATGGCATCTCCAAGGACTCGCGAAAGGTTTTCATCAGCATGTATATATTTTTTTAAAAATAATTTTGTAGAACTAGGATAAAAATTACGCTAAAAAAGGAATTTTATATAATATGAATTTGCATTTCTTTTGAGTTAATTTAGCAATGCTAATTTTTTTATAAAAAATTATCTTTTCCTTGATTCATAACAGACTGTTTTTAAGATTTCTAATCAATAATTTATTAATATAAATAAATAATAATAAGTTTATTAACCTCGTTAAACTCATACAACAACTAACTGAGAAACATATATATTAGGAGACCGTTCTTCTTAAGGATGTAACTAACTTGCAACTGCAAGATACTTTATAAATAATTTATATAACTCATTATCTTCAATATATTTAATATACATATTTATTTTTGCGATTTACATATTCTAAGGAATTTTAATAAAATTACAATTTAAGTAAAAAAATAATTGCACTAAAAAAAATATACCACATATTTATATTCTTAAAATTTAGGCATAATAAATTATTGGACTTGAAAATAAATGTTATGTAAATATTCAAATAAAGTAACCCATGACCGGGAAAAAAAATAAATTATATTAACATATTTTAAAAGGTAACTTAGAATATAACTAATTACTTTGGTAGTTACATTTCAAAAATGCATTTTTTGAAAAGTAATTATTAAAAGTTATTTTTTTTGCAAAAATCTTACTTCAAAAACATTAGTATATTATTACCTAATTTTCCAATTCTATATACTTTTAAGAATATTCTGGATAAACTAAGATGAAACTTGCGGCTTTCAAATTTACTATAAATATAATGAATAATATCTACTAATTTGTTTTCAAAAATTTGTGTTATCAAACTTTACATAGACAAGCATTAGTCTTTAAAATTAATTCAAAGCTTGAAAAAAATGTGAGCGAATGCCCCCCACCCCCAAGTAAATATTCTTTTATCGGGCTGAGCACATCCATATAAGAATATAATTATTATAAGTGATAAAGTTCCAGTTATGCCTTTAAATTTTCATAATGTAGGCTTAACATTTTTTAAATTTAATTATAATTTTGATTTAATCCCTCACCTCATATTTTATTTTATTTAAAAAAAAGGAATCTTTGTTTCTGTGTTTATCAATAATATATAATACTTAATATATATTGCATAGTAAAAATGAAAGAAGACCGGTATTTTTTAAAAAAGATTCATTTGGTTTAAATGATATTACCGACAAAAGTCTGCTCGAAATCACTAGTTAAATTGTTCAAGTTAGACGGGTTTTATTATATAATCACGTAATTTTTTTATAAAATGTGATAAAAAGGTTGTCGAAGTGATTAAAAAGTCTATTAATTTTTAGTTATCAATCATTGCTTTCTTTCTTTATTATAATTAATTAATTAATCGTGTAGTTTTAAATTACCTATGATGACTTTTATAATACTTTTAAAAAAAAAATAAATATTAATGTAATCCTTACTCCTTTTTTGTTACACCTGGTAAAAAGGGAAAGACGTTAATTAATAAAATATTGTCTTAAAAAGATACTCTTGTCTATTATTATAATTAGAATTCTTAATTATAATAAAAATGTGTTTTTATTTATTATCATCAAAAATGAAAGACATACACATATAAGGGGGAAAGTAACCCTTTTTTAACATTCCCAATATTTTTTATTGATTAATCAACCTTTGTAAATCTTTCCTTATTAATACTTGTATATATAATTTCTTTTATAAACTCTTTATATAAATAATTAAATAAATAATATTTTTTCACGTTACCTCGCCTATTAACTCAAAATAATATTTGTGTTTAAAGCTGAATTTATTTTTGTTTTAATATTTGCGACATCAAAAAAAATAATCTTAAAAGGTATAATAATAAATCAGTAATACCTAGCTTACAATAAAAATGGTGCCAAATTATATCTATATGATATTTAAACAGGAGACCTCAATTAATAAAAATTTTAAACAGAAGAATAGAATGTGTCTCATTTTAGGTTATTAAAAGGGGACAATAATAGAGTAATTATTTTAATGTTATAATTTAAAAAAAGTGAAATAAAATATTTAATTATACCAAAAATTTACGAATAAAATATTATCTAGACATAATGATAACCTATTCAGGAGGCAACAAACATTACCACCCAATCTACCTAGATGCCAAATCCAAAAATCTTTATGTAGGATCAATGTAAAAAATTAGAACTTATGTGAATACATTATATTTTCAAACTAAAAATAAGCTTAAAATGGAATTTAGATGGCATTTAAAGTATAGGCTCAAAATGTGTATGGGAGGATGGGTATTTAAAAGCAAGCAAAATTTTCTCACAAACATAATTTATAGTGGCTTGGTTTGAAATATTGAATACTATTATTTTTTAAAGTTTCATATAACTGGATTTATTTGACTTGTCAAATTCTGATCGTAAGGAAGAGTTATTTTTTTAAAATTATTGATCTTTATACTATAGTAATAAAAATAATTAATAGATACTATTCAGTGATATCATTAAGTAGGAGACATTGGGGGAGGGGGGAGGCTACTGCCACGGGGAAATATATAATGAGAGATCGTCATTGACATAAAAGAAAAAGGGGTAGGGGATAATTTTGATTTCTTGTTTTTGCTCATTTTTTATTGGCTTGCTAATTATGATTTCATTTTTTTGCTAATCTTGATTTGAATTTACTTTTTGATGCTAATTTTGATATTTAAAAAGGGTAGATAGGACATAAGATTGGGGAAAACAAGCCCTTTCCCTAGTTGAAAAATTTAGCGGGTTTACTGCTATTATACGATTATATTAAATTGAATCAATATTATTTATATAATACCTTGTAAATTAACAAATGCTCATTTCAATTTAAACTATTTATACTTAATAAAGGAACTCCATTCTGAAGTTGAACTTGTATAATATTTCCGACATATCCTCAAAGGTTAAAAATTATTAAGCGCATGCTTTATTTTATATCTTGTTTTACAGTTTTCTCAAATAACTATTCTTCCACTCAAACAAGATGTTGATATTTGTATTTCGAAATTCGGGCTAGACAATCAGGTAATCAATAATTCTTTAAAAAAATTCACATTTAAAAATATTTTTTCCAGGCATATGACTGTCAAAATCATTTTCGAGTTATCCAGAAGATGTCGGATGGAAAAATATATGCGTGTTCAACGGGTTCTCATTCGCCAAAAGATTATTTATTTTCGGTAATTATCATGATATATTTTTTTCTCACAAACTTAAAAAAATATATATTAATGTTTATGAGATTTGCTTAGGTTCACTTTAGGCAATGGACCTTATTAACGTCGTTTAAATAAAAGAATTTTGACCCATTTTTGCTCATGATCGAAAATTTAAAATGATAATACCTAAATTTTATTATGTTATTTTAAAAAATGGATAAAAATGTATATCAATTATTCTTCACGGAATTTTCAGTTTTAAATTCACTATAAGAAGAGATTCCCCTCCCGCTAGATTTTTTAATGTTCCCTACATAATCTTGGAATTACAATTCTAATTTAATTTGCGATAATTCTTGGCCAATCTCTAATGATTTATATGAAAATTTGTGATATTTAAGTTGTTAATTTATAAACATTCATATAAGCATTTTAAACATTTACAGAAAATGGGAGATTAAAATAAAATAAATTAGGATTATATCCAATTTATATTCCAATTCAAATAAACATATATTCTATTCTATATTCATATATATTATAATTCATATAAAAAATTTGTAAAATACATTAGTTTATAAGAGATATCTCAAAAATTTAATATCGATTTTTTATTGAGATAATTAAAAAAACAAATAGACTTGAAATGTTAGGAGATAATAAAATATATATTAAAGAAAATTGTCAAAGGGCATTATTTCTGGCCCAATATGCTTTTTTTTAAATTCTTTTTTTTTCTATAATTTTATAAAATATTTTCCTTCCACCAAAATTAATTATAAAACACTAGAGGAAAATAAAAATTTTCGGTTGTTTTTCCTGAAAAAATATATAAAATAATTAAGAAACCAATTTTTTTTAAATAAAATTAGAGTCCAACAGGCTAAAGTAAAAATCAAGAGCTAGCCAACCAAGTTGAAGAAAATATCTGCCTGAGTCTTAACAATACGGATTCTGTAATATAAACCTTTTTTTCTTTGTTGTTTGATCGGACAAATTAATATTAGCCGCGGAATTTTACTTTCGTAATGAAATCTTTATAGCTGAATTAACGATTAAATTTAACCCCCCCCCCTCCCCCAATATCGATCTGAAAGAAAATTAGCAATCACCACCACTATTCCAATTCAGAATCTGGAAGGGTTCAATCCAGTTATTAAAATATAAAAATATTATGATAATTTCCCTAGCATGTAACAATAATCTAAAAACCCTTATATATTTCAACATTTGGAATAAGAGATCCTTCAATTTATCATATATTAATTAAATTAATAATGCACTTAACTAAATAACAATTCAACGTATATATTTAAAATGATAAAAAAAGACAAATTTAGATAATTATACCAACTATCCACCAGATGGGATAGGAATAGGAAAATGCCCATATGATCCTAGGAGTTCCCACGCATACATTTTATCAGGTATGTAAATAAATATTCAAAATTAAATTAAATAACAATTAAAAGATATCTTAATATAATTATTATAATATACCTAAAAAAATATATTATTAGAAAAAAATAATCCGCTCAATCAAGCCATGATATATTCGGGAACTTATAGAGACATAGATAAATTAGACGCTTTCATTTATCGACCGCCCATTTACGATGAATCCGGACAGAAACAGATATCCTCCTTCATGAGAACCGCATCTCAAAGTCTTAAAGTGTTGAATGGTAATAAATAATTATGATATATTATATATCTTTTTTAAATATTTTATTTTTTAACTCGTTTGCAGATGTAAAACAAAAATGATAGTTGTTAGCCCATATCATTTCAAATAAAAATAGTGTTTAATTTTATCAAAAAAAAAATATACTTTCCCCTAGAACCACAATTCATTAAAGCTATAGAAGTCGACAACTGTGTCTATTTCTTTTTCAATGAAATCGCAGTCGAATATAACTCATGCTTTGATTCCATTATTCCCAGAGTCGCGAGAATATGCAAAAAAGATAGAGGTGGCCTGAGTGTCTCTACCAATTTTTGGGCTACCTATATCAAGGCCAGGTTAAATTGCTCTCATACCTCGAATCAAAAATCTTTCAAACAAACCATATACTTTAATAAATTGCGAGACATTTTCACGATTAAAAATAGCGAATCTCAACATCGGTTTTATGCGCTTTTCACGGCATTCAAGTAAAAAATGGAAGATAAATGTATTAGAGATCTGCTAATCACCCCCGGTCGAGTCTATTAAAAAAAATAATTTCGGTTCGGGCAGGATCGGGTCTAACATTTTTTTAAAATTTCGAGTCAGGCTGGGTCAGGCTTAAATGTTTAAATATGATTTTATTACATTTTGTCAAAGAAATTGATATATTTTAAAATTCTTGCAAAAAACAAGATGCTAATATTTTTTAATTGTGGAGTATTTTTTTTACAATAAAAATAAATTAAATTTTACTATATTTAAATAAATTAGGGCCGGGCTTGGTGGACAAATATTTTTCATTTTTATTTCAGGCCGGGCTTTTCCAGACAAACAAAAAATAATTTGTTCAGGATCGGGCAGGGTCAGACAAATATTCGGGTCAGGCCGGGCCTGGGAAATTAGGCCCGATGCAGATCACTAAAATGTATATTTATATTCGCATATTATTTATATTTCAGTGGTGATAAAATTGGTTCGGCTATTTGTCTATTCAATATCTTTGACGTTGATGAAGCATTAAAAAGTAATTTCATAAGACGACCTCATACATTCTCATCTTGGGATCAAGTTCCATCCACAGAGATTCCTGAGATCATTTCAAACAACCGAGAGGTATATTATAAAAATAAATATTTAGTTGGAAAGTTATTATTGGAATATTTAAAAAAAATAATATAAGAAATATACATTGGCTATAAATAAATCATGCAAAAATTTAATCGTTATTTACTCATGAAAAATAATTTGAAATTATACTGTAATATAAATTAAACAACGAAAGTAATTAACTGATCCTTTTAAACAAAAATATTTGTTAATTTCTATAAGCATAATTTGGCTATTTATTAGAAAGCGATTTTTATTCCCAGGAAGGGTTAGTATTGACAGATCATCTATCATATTTGTTTACTCAAGGTTTATAGTTTTAATTTAGCCAAATAAATTATCCTAACATACTTAATCTTAACAAACTATTTATTTATTATTAATTTGTCAAATGATGATCCAACATACTCTATATTAATAAAAATCAAAAAATAATTATTTACCAAGTGTTCAAATAAAACGGACACCCTATCTTGGAACGAGGAGGCAATTTATTTTATGAACGAGCATCCTATGGTGCAAAACTCTGTCAATCAAGAAAACCATGAACCCATATTTTTCCATAATAACCTTGAATTGAAGAAAATAATAGTGGATCAAATCGTTGGGTTTGACAAAGCACATCCTTATTACGTTATATTTGCTATTTCAGGTATAAAATTATATAACCATAATATGTCTTATTTAATCTTAAAATATTCTTCTTTTTTTAAAAAAATATAATAGTTAGAGGTGACATGTATAAAATAACTTACTGGTACGATGCAAATGGTAGATATTCATCTCAGATTGTCTCGTCATACCAGATTATTACCAATTCCAATATTAATTCAATCGACCTATTACCGGTTTTTTAAAAAAATTGAAATAATTTTTCACAAAATATTTTATATTAGGGAAAGTATATTTATGTTACGATGAATAATTCGATAAACCAAATCTCACTCGCATTGTGCGAAAAATACGAGCTTTGCTCTCAATGTATACGGGACCCTTATTGCGGGTGGGATAAATATGCTGGATCTTGCAAAAAATGGGACAGTTCGAAATCATCAAAGTTATTATAATTAGAAACATTAATATAAATATAAAACAACTATCTTAATATTGATTATGAACTATTATAAATTTCCATAATACTTCATTTCTATCATTTCGGTATATTGTCTCGGACTAGTCCGCCCAGAATTAAGTCTTAGGACATTGTGTCAAGTAATTTTTTCTCCCTTTCTAAATAACTTTTACTCCTTTGTAAGGTCCTTTAAAAAAAAATTAAATATAAAGGTCAGTCATAACTCATTTTAGAAAAAGTTTATTAAAGGTTCTTTGATAAATTTTATTTTGCATGGGAAAATATCATGCAACATAATTGTCTAGATTCAATAACATTTTTTATAAACCAACATGAATCTTATAAAATCTCATTTTGGTGAAGTTTAATTAATAAACATTCAGTTCATTTTGAAAGATGATCAAAAAGGTGTCTCTGGTGGGGGGGGGGTGCCAAAACGTGCTCGACATGCCATAGATGTTTTTTATACTCCTTTATCTTTTTTTGGCAATCCATATTTTCTATTTCGACAGCCTTAAATTAACAAACGGTTTTTGCTCGTTAGCATCTGTTTTTTGCACTAAAGAGAATAAAGTCATTCAGGCAAAACTATATAGGTCAAAATAAAACTATTAATTGGCTTTGATTACTATTGAGGTATTGTAAAAAAGCTGCGATGATGATATAATTTATTTATACAATATATTTAAAATTTAATTCCTCACTCCCCTCCCCCTTTTCCATTCAAAAAAAATTTGTAGAGTAACTGTTCCCCTATGTAATAGAAGTTAGCATAAACGTAGCCAAAATTTTGCTAAAAGGGAGTGGGGAACTATTAGGTGAGATTTTCCCCCATAAATTTTATTGGAGGTCCTATATTAGATTTTTTATAAAATGATTTTGGGTTTTCATTTATTTTATATAAATCCTTTTTTTTCCTAAAAATTTTAATTTGTAATCATTATTTTAAATTTATTAACTTTTACAAATTTTTCTTCCAAATTCTTTGTTTATATAGTTACATTTTTGTGTGTAGGGGGAGATTTTTATTAGCATAAAATGATATTTACGAGAACAGCCAAATTTCCGAAGGGAGGATTTCCCCTAGTCCCTTCCCTGACGTGCATATGGAGATTAGCAATGCAGAGTGATTATATTTTTAATGAATATTTTTTCATTTTTAAACAGACACCAAAATATTTAAATAATAAAAAAACTGCCTCTGCTTCCACCCATAATATCAATTAGCTCACGTGAAACTAGGATCAGTTTTATCGTTATTTTTGAAATATAAACCAAATTTTTTGGGGAAAAATACTGCAAGGAGAGAGGGGGGGCACAACTGATAATTAAAAATGGAGGAATAGTAATTTTTATATTCGATTATTATTATTTTACATGTTAAATGGGTTTGTTTTTGATAGAATCTCTTTCAATATTTTTTTTTCTCTTTAGCTTCCATTTTTTCTGGTGGCAAGCTCCTTCAATATCTCTCTCCACTTTATGTTATTCTATCTAATTTATACTTCTTCATATTGAAGTTTTGGCCTTCCTCTTTTATGTTTGCCCATCACTTCCAAACTCTCACCCTTATTTCCTATGTAGTTCATAGGACTTCTCATTGTGTGCCCATACCACCTAAGTCTTCACCATTATCTTAGTCTTAATAGGCACTTCCTATTATTTTTATACTTCGCACCTTATCCTTTTTGATACCCCAGCAATCATTACAATCTCCATTGGTAACTATTATTTTTTAATTATTTATCTAAACTAAAACTATAAATAAAATATTTTCTTTTTAACGTTTATACTAGATGAACAATATTTTTATGGGCCGGAATTTTGCAAATTTCTTTAAAGCTTTGAATTAGGCAAAGTTAGCTCCTTCTCCTTCACATAAAATTATTACGAGCCTATCAGGACAACTTGTATAAAATTATTTTATTAACAGGCCAAAAAAACCTATGACTACAGTACATTTCGTTTTGCATTACCATGGTATTATACCTCTCAGTCTCTATATATTGTCTACCCCTCCATTAAATTGAATACAACTTATGAACCTTTCAGGATAGGTCACAGTTTAGTATTCCTCCTAATACAACAGATGAATAAAGGTACAAAAATCCATTTTATAGAAAAGATAATATATGTGCGAAAAAATGAACCATAAATATTCAAAATTATCGATTCGATATTAGGTTTTAGAAATATTGGTAGATATTATTTGGATTTGCAGGATGTGATATTAATACTAACGTTTATAATCTGAAAATTTGGGCTTGGAGAGCCATTCCAAAAATTTTCAACTTTTATGTGAGAAATATATGGCAAAAATGAATAAAAATTTTACTATTCGTATATTTCCGAAAAACCAGTTACCAAATGGGATTTTTTTTAAAAACATTGTAATATAAATATTAAAAAAGCAAGCAGAAAAATGGACCAAGCTAATGAGATTAGTTATAAAAGTTTGCATATAATATAAATAACTTTGTTTTATATAATCGAAAAAAATGGGCCTCTCCACTAAAAAAAACCACCGTGGAAATAAAGAGTAGATTTTCAGTAAATTAATTGTTAATATATTTATATAAATAAACAGATTATTACAATCGGTAAGAACGAAGAATGATGGATTATGCGTTACAAGTAATATAATTTACTGATCATTTCATGTAATAATTGATTAAAATTTTAGATGAAAAAGTAGCGAGATTTAAAGTCAGTAATATCATGACAATCCCAGGCAGTTCCGTGCATATGAAATGCAAATTTCCATCTTATTTAACGAACCACGACATCAAAGACCAAATTAACTGGTTCTACAATAACAATATCATTCCTTATGACAACACGCTTATTCTAACGAACGATATGGGACTTATTTTACTTGGTTTAAACATTTCCAACGCGGGAAGTTATAGTTGCAAATATGGTCAACAAATTTTAAGCAAATATGACTTAAATATAAACAACGGTAAACATCAAAAAGAAAATGATCTGTATCTATGTATATTTAGTGGCTTGAAAATTGAAGCGACTTTATTTTTTCTTGAGTTAGCATTTAAATTTAAAAGTAAAAATTATGTTCACTCTAAAACAATTTGAAATATAAAATTTTGAATTTTAAAAGTTTTGATTTTTTTTCTCTTTTAGATAGCAAGAATTTTATTAAAAATTGCTAAGCTATCCTAAGATAGAACGAAGATATTTATATAACAAACTTTTTCTTATTTACATTAGAAGTTTGTTCGATACCTCAAACCAAGGAAAAGTACAATGAGAAATATAATGAATGGTGTAGAGAATTCGAAAACTATAAACGAGAATTCTATGACTGGCAAAAGAAAAAAAAGGAATGTATTTTTACGAATAGCATTTCATAGTTGATTTGAAAAGAAAAAAATAAACTTCTTTTTTCTTTCATATTTATTAAATTTACCAAAATTTACAGATAACACTTTGCGTGCAATTCTTTTTTATATAAACATAATTATAAAAGCATAAATATTTTATATTGTAATATAAATAATGTTTTTTAAAAAAAAATAAAGAAAAAAAAAATAAATTATAGCGTTGATATATCCTTTTTATAGAGAAGTTCAATTTTGTCGAATAATGAATTGAGTTGTATACACAATTCTTGAGATGGCATATCGGCGTTATCTCGATTCCCTTTAAATAAATAGATAATTCTTAAATTAAAAAATAAAAAACCTTTGAAGTATATAAATTTTTCGATTTGGTCGATTTTGCCTTCGAGTCTTCCTTCACTAATCATTTGAGAGGCTATACTTTCGGCCTATAAAAGAATTGTTTTATTAATTTTTTTTTTCTATTCTTTCTCTCCCATAAATATTATAAGAAATATTAATACTTTATCCTCTGATATTTCTAGTAATAGCGCGAGTTGTTCGAATGATATATTTAAGTAAATATTACTAGCAGATAGTAGATTGTGCTGCATAATCGCTTTTTCCAATATAGTCGTACCTATAAAACAATATGCAATATCATATTATAGCATTTAAGTTAAAATATCATCAATCTAAATGACATTTATTCAATCTCTTATTTTCAGGACGAAACGTGTTCAAGGGCGTTTTATTATTTAATTATTATCATATACAATTCATAATTATCTTTTATATAATACCATCTATATTTTGAGCTTTTTGATGATGAGGCAGGCTCTTTTCAAATTCTTTAAATTGGTCTCGCCGTATAATCCTATCAAGGTACCTATTGTAAACGACACATTATATAATATCTTTTTTTAAAATATTGAATTTGATATTAGTTGTATTTTATACATTTTTTCTAATATGTCAAAACTCAATGCTCGACATCTCTCGTCTTTGTATAGCAGTGCTAAAAATCTGGAACGCGGTTGGCCTTTTTAAAATGTTAAGAATAAATGTAGGGTAATTAATATTTCCTATGTTTTAAGCAATTTATATACACAACTAAATTTAAGAAAATATTGATGATTAAGCTATGGTTGTTGTGCTTGTGCATTTTAACAATTTTAAATAATAAAAAAAGGGCCTTGGCCTTGATAAGTAAGATGAAAAGAAAAACGAATGATAAGATGGGTCTAAATCATATTTCAAAACTCATACATTAATGATAAGCCTTTGAAATTAACTAGCGTACGTTATATAATTGTAGCATTTAAAATAGTCTCCCTCCTTTTAATTTATTTTAAAAATATTTACCAGCTGGGGCCAAAATGGCACAATTAAGTGCTTGTTCTAGTGCTTGGTTGCGTTCAGCTTCATTAAGGGCAGATTTGTAAGATAATTCGAGATATTTTTGAGCACTTTCGATGAATTTTCTCCTGTTGTCAAGCACGCGAGCGTATGTTAGCTTTCAGGTAAAAAATTTAAAAAAAATGTGAGGTAGTTGACTAAATAGTAATATCGAATGGATTGCTTAATAATTTTGATTATCTGGTATTGATATGATAGTATTCTTTGCATAATTGGTTTTAAAAATATTTAAATGTTAAATTATTGATGACATTTTTATGTAAACTGTATTCAAATAAAATTAATATTCAGAGATCTGCAAAAGTAGGCCCGGCCCGAACGGACTTCGGGCCGGGTTCGGGCCTATTTTAAAAAAAAATTAGGGTTCGGGTTGGGTCGGGCCTAATATTTTTTTAAAAAAATTCGGGCCGGGTCGGGCCGGTCCTTAAAAATTTTTTTAATATTGGCACTAATATTTTTTGTAAAATAAAAATATTTAATTTTATTTGAAGAAGCTAGACGCCATATGATGGCATGTATCTTTTATTCTTGGTATAAATATATAATTAAACTTTTTTTTTAAGAAACAAGGCGGCAACATTTTTTATTTGTAAAATATAAATATTTAATTTTATTTATTTAGAAAGTAGACGCCATATGTCATATATATTTTATTATGGGTAAAATAATTTAAATGTTTTTTTATAAAACTTAAATTTTAAATATAATTTAAAAATGAATTTAATTTTTTTAAAAAAACAAATACAAAATGGAACATATATTTGTATGCCCCATTTAGGTAAAAGCAATATATGGGAAAATTTTGAAGACATATTTGATGATAAAAACAAAAAACTTGATTACGTCCAATGTAAAAAATGTAATAGTATATTACAATATAAAAGCACATCTGGAAATTCTCATTTAAGACGTCACAAGTGCGTTAAGAGAGACGATTCCTCTATTCCTAAAATAACTAGGTATATTCAAAAGAAAATAGATCTAAATTCTTCCTTAACTATTAAAAAGAAACTATGTGATACCTTGATCTATTATTGCGCCAAGGACATGCGTGCCTTTGATTCGATAACTGGAGATGGCTTTATAAAAATGGCTCAAAATTTTATTCAAATTGGCTCCATTTACGGTAATATTGACTGTAGCGAAATTATTCCCCATCCAACTACTTTATCGAGAAATGCTATAGTTATGACGGATCAAATTAGAACAAATTTGGTTAATAAAATAAATGTTCAATTATTTGATAAAAAATGCTCTGCTACAACAGACATGTGGACAGATTCTTTTAAAAAGTTTTCCTATTTAACTGTTTCAATTCATTATATCGAAGGTGAAACCTTATATAAACATGTTTTATTTAAGAATAAGTTTAAAGAAGAGAAAAAAACCGCCGCGATCATACATAAGGAAATGCTACAAAATTTTGCTGCAATTGGAATAATTCCCGATCAAGTGAAAAATATAATATTTATATCTGATCAAGGAGCTAATATAATTAAAGCCCTAGAAAAATACACCAGATTAAATTGCAGCGCACATCTATTAAATACTGTTCTTCGAAATACCTTTAAGGAACAATCTTTGAAAATTATCGCTCCTAATATATATCAAACCCTTATTTCTGCTAAAAAATTAACCATGTATTTTAAACAAACCGGCATGAATCAATATTTAGACAAAACATTACAACAAGATATCGAAACTAGATGGAATTCAAAATTAAATATGTTGAAATCTATTTATAACCAATATGATGACATCGTCAATTTTTTATCATCCAAGGGAGATATTAATAAAATGGAAAACTTGGAGAAATCTATTTTGAAAAATTTGATTGATATTTTATATACTTTTGATAAAGCTACTAAAGAACTTGAAGGAGATATTAATCCTACTTTACATAAAGTACTGCTATGCTTTAATAATATTCTTCACGAGGATTTAAATGATTCATTTTATCAAAACAATGAAATAAAAGAAATAAAAACTAATTTAAAAAATTTTTTATTATCTAAATTTAAAATCAATATTTTGCATAAAATAGCGACATTTTTATGCCCCAAATATAGAAAATTAAGAATGTTATCATCAATGGAAATATTAGAAGTAGAGAATTCAGTCAAAAATATAATTAATTCTGAAGAATATTGTCCTTCAATTGATATTATAGATTTGGATATTCAAGGCGTTTCTCAAATTGTGGAATCGCCTAAAAGATCTAAAGGTACATTTAAAATTGTTCTATTTATATTATTTTTATATATCAGGCAATGAATATGAAAGATGGGAGGACAATGAGGAAGAATATGAAAAAAAAGAAACAGATGAGCTTGAAATTTATAAGAATTTAAATATAAAAGAGAATAATGAAAATATAGATCCAGAAAAAGATATATTAAAATGGTGGAATAAAAATGAAATTAGATTACCAAAGATGACAAAATTGGCTAGAAAAATTCTAGCAATTCCTGCAACGTCCACAACTTCAGAGAGAACTTTTTCAAAGACTGGAAGGTTATTAGACGAAAGAAGAAATAGACTGTCACCAGAAAATGTTGATGCTTTGATATTTTTAAATGATAATTATAAATATGAATCTAATATATAGTTGTGTAAGTTAACATTATAATTATTGTTTGGTTTATAGGTATTTTTGATAGTATTTTAAATAAATAATTAAATACTAAATGAATTTTCTGTTTACTAAGATATTTTTTGCAAAAACAAAATCTTAAATATAAAAAATAAACGAAAAGCTAAAAAAAATATAATTATTACTTTAGGATGAATTAAAAAAATTTCGGGTTCGGGCCGGGCCGGCAAAAGTTTCTAAAAAAATTCGTGTTCGGGCCGGGCCGGGAAAAATTTTTTAAAAAAATTTCGTGCAATACTATCCACATCTTATTAAAATTTCACTCGTAAAATACTAAGATATTAATAATATGTAAGGTAAAAAAGCGAAGGATGAGTTAATATGATTTTATATTTAAAAAAAAAATAATATAAAAAAGTGCACATTTTAATTTTTTCGGGTTGAATATTTTAAATGTTTGGTTTATAAAGAAACCGTGTTATAATAGTAGCTGATAGCCTGTCAAGAATGACGCGGAATCAGAATTTTGACTTTTATTTTATGATGGATAAATCAGAAATTTTTTTATCTTTTGAGGTTTGGTTCAGTTATATTTATTTAGATGAGGGATTATTCTAAATTTTTCCATTATTTTTATAAAATATGTTAATGACGTATATATTTAGTAATTTTAATTTAACATTAAAAAAACTTTTGAACTAAATTTTTATTTGTATTTGTTATTTATAATCTAAAAAATATATTTTTGCTAGATGAGAGTTTTAACTTATATTAGATTTAACATTGCCCCACAAAACTCTCATCTAGCAAGAATACATTTTTTACTTTATAAATTATAAATACAAATGAATAAAAATTTAGTTGAAAAGATTTTTTATTGTGCACATAAATTAAAATTACTAAATTTATACTTTATTAATAAAATAATGAAAAATTTTAGAATTCCCTCATCTAGTGTTGTTAGTTGGTTGTGTAAAACCCAGACGGGGTTTGGGTCTAAAAATTGAATAAACCAGCTCTGAGCACGAAACCCAAGCACAGATCCGGGGTTCAGACCTGGAAATAAATGGAAGATAAAAATAGAAAAAAATAAATAAAAAATCATTACTGTATATATTAGTTTGTTTAAATATAAATTATAATATAATATCATCACATTTTGCGATTTTAAAGATGTTTATTTTAACTATGAAAACACAATATCTCAACAGGGCCGTAGCCACGGGGGGCCCCCAAACCTGGTCCCCAGGAAAAATCTTTGGCCCCCAAAATTTTTCGCCCTCCCCCTCCAAAAAAAATTGAATTTTTTTTTTAGAATTGATTATTTTTATATTTTTAATATAAATTTTGAATATTTATTCAAAAATATTCAAAAAACATGTCTATTTAGAATTGATTATTTTTATATTTTTAAAATAAATTTTGAATATTTATTCTACAAACATGTCTAGTTTGTAAATTTTTTTCTATCTTGTTTTATATTTATTTTTACCCAATATTAAATTATCATTCATTCATTTTTTTTTCATTTGTTTTTGTTGTGTATAACATTCTCTATAGGTATCACATTTATATTATATTATATAACCAGTTATTTTATTTTACAGCGTTTATTTTAAAATTATGAAGAAGCAATTAGTTATTAACTCTTATTTTAGGTTAAAGTTGAACAAATGTCAAGCAACATCACCTCTACAAACTACTAGCAATACTACATCAGAAATTTCAGAAACTGATTCTTCTCATAGTTAGTATAAATTTATATTATTATTTCATGACTTATATGATATTGATATAGGGCAATACCTATATATTATTATTTCATATATATTTATTTTATATAAGATAAGAAACAGACATTTATTATTAATATTATCATTTTTGTATAATAATTTTAATTATTAAAATAAATATATTCACTCATATTTGAAGATATGAATGAAGCTAATAATCTAGAAAATGATCCTCACTACACTCAGGAGGAGGAAGATGGTAAATAGTTTAAAATTTAACCCAAATTTTTCTATTTATATATTTTTGACAATATCAATAGGAGTAGGAGATTATGGTGTTTCATTATTACATTTTGATTTTAAAACAAATAAAGACGAAGAAGAGACTCAATCATCTTCATCTAGCAGCTCAGTCTCTCATTGTCAAGAGGCAACTAGTAATTGATTTATAAATATAAAAATATTATATTTATTTGTTAATCTTTAAAGATATGTTTATGACCTTTTTCTAGTTTTTAATACTGAATATCTATAATTTTACTGATCAACTTTACTGATAATCTTCATCAGGGTTGGGCACTACAGTATAGAAAATACTTGTATCTTAAATACAAGATAAATTTTGTGTTTGTTCATTTTCAGCATGCCCTTCCTTCGCCCATCCTGATGACCATTATTATTTATGACCCTTTCCCTCATTACAATTTATTAATTATAATATTTTTAGTGTCAAAAAAGTCCTCTAATGGTTCAATTCAAATCCCAGGTGAC